TTGTGGCGTGTAAGGTACATTGCTTGCCTCGCCCTTCTGCGGGGCGCTCTTTCCGTAGTGGACGAGCCTCTCCGATTCGACATACATTCGCCGCTGGCCTAGAGGGCTGGACGGGTTGGGGTTGCGGTTGGCGTGCGTTCGGGGGTGGGCGGGGCGCTGGGGGGGACAGTCGTGTCAGATACACGCTTGCTTCCCACGCAGGCAATCCGGAGCGTAAGGACCAGGGTGCGCTCGATGGATTCCACCCTCAATCTGGTCAGCGGCGGCATGGCCTGCCTCTGCTCCGTCCTGTGCTCCTCCGCTGAGCATGCAGTGGTTTCCAGCAGGATGGGTCAGCTGCGTGCGTCACGAGGCCATCGTGGCGTACTCTCTTTTCACAGGAGACGGCGCCGTCGCGGAAGCCCCCGAAGATGGCGGTCGCCAGAGGAAGGGAAAGGAAGGGAGCCACTCAATGCGCGTCCAAGTTGGCCACGCAGGTCTCCCAGAAGGGTGTGGCTCTGGTGGTGCTGCGGGTAGATCTGGGAAGAGCAGGTGTTTAACGGGGATCATGAAAGTGTCGACGCACTGGCGGCATACACACATTCGAGCTCCATGACAACGACAGCGTTATCAGTAGCAGTGCTTAGGTTTGACATCGCTCAGCGAATCGCAAGCAGCGGTGTGAGAAGGAGGAGGAGGACAAGGACGAGGAGGAGGAGGAGGAGAAGGACGAGCGAGCGAGCGAGCGACCTCGGCAGCAGTTCGACTTCGGGCGCGGGGCACGAGCCTAACAAAATTGGGTGCCTGTCAGCGTCCTGAATTGCTGCTGGTTCTGTCATTGGGCGAGGCGGAAGGACGCCTGATGGAACCCGTGGGGGCCTATAGAGCCTTGGGCCCCTCGTCGGCCCTATAGGCCGTCTCCATCCTCCGAATTAGAGCAAAACGAGTGGGCGAAACTCTAGGCTCAACCCTCCCAGCCTGCAACTATATACGTAGTTACATGCTTAGTGGACGCTCAGGGCACACGCTGTATACAGGTATGCGCATCGCGTGCTCACTGCGTCGTGCTGTACGACATGCACGTGCGAGACATTGAACGTGATACTGCTTTTATATAGTGCCAGTGCTGCCGCGCTCAAGAGTCTCAGAGAGCAAGAACCCTGGCCGTAGACGTCGTGGTTGCAGCTTCGCCATGGCGGTGAAAGCGGAGCTCGATCCAGACGGACAAAGCTCAATGTAAATCAGATTCTATTTACCGCTCCCAACGTGAGGCTGTGGTTGTGGAACATCTGACTCATGAAGGCAAAGAAAAGAAATGATATGCTGTAGTCTGTACCCAGCACGTGGCTGATGAGAAATGTAGTGGTAATCGTGTACTGAAAGAAACTGCTGAAGCCGATCGATCTGCATGTCGAACAGCGGCAGAGCAAAAGTGGCTTCACGCACCAGGATATTCATAGGCCCATGCGCTTCAGCATGTCCTTTGCTCGCTGACTTCCGCAGGCGGCCTGTCTTCGCAAACCTTCCAGGTGTACTGCAGCGTATCTTACATCTGGCGGGCGCGCAGCTGGCTCTGAAGCGCGCGTTCGAGGGCGCTGGGCGGCGCTGACCCCTGGATCGTTTTCCCTCCCACGTGTGCGATGGCCTGATGCACTGCCTGTCGAAACTGCTGCACCGAGATTGTTGGCGGCTTGATCGGCTCCGTCGGCCCCTCGCCCTGATGCTGCTCCCTGGCTCTGTTGACTGCGGCGATGATCGATTCGTCCGCGAACGGGCTGACTGCCAGCGCTTTGTACATTATCTGCACCTTGAACTGTTTGGGCTGGTCCTTCTGGGCGTAGGCGGCCTTGACTCGGAAGTATGGAATGAGGTCCCCCACGTGCAGGCGTGACATCTTGCTCACCAAAATGACGAAAACCTCGAGGATCTCTTTCGATGGGCTCGGCAACTCCAATTGCGCCGGGCCCCCAAAGAAGGCGACCACGATATGTACGCGCGGGCTGCCCAAGTCCTTCTCGCCTGCTTTGACATTCTCCGCGTAGGCTGTGCCCATCTCCGTGCTCTGCTCCGTCGCCTCGTTCTGTGGCATCAGGTAGAAGTCCCAGACCGAGCCCGCCAGGTGTCTGGTCATCTGCACCGCGTTGAGAGCCGCGCGCTGCAAGGTCGTCACCTCGTGTTCTGCCTGCGTTCCTAATCCAGTCCCAGCATTCGCGCGGCGTGGCTGGTGTCCAGCGCGCTGGGGCGCGGGCCCCTGGCGCGGCCTCTGCGCTGGCGGCGCCGCGGCGACGCTGGCTGCGTCGAGCGTCCCTGACCTCGGTCGCACTCCCGTGGCCGTCAGCACCCAGTCCGCTGGCCCCATCATCTTGTGGCTTTGGCCCAGGAACGTGCTCACGCATGTGAAGTGAGTGCGCGTGAAGATCTTGATAGGCGAGGCCGCAATGTCCACGCGTGTAAGGTGGATCTGGCTCGGGCCGAAAATCAAACGAAACCGATCGAGTAGGGCACTTTCTCGGTGTCTTGCTTGCCATGGTCCATACGCGCCGAATGCATGATGCCTTGCTCGCAAACGTTGTCATGCACCATGGACATGTATTTGTGCGAACAGCTAGTGAGTACTCGTTGCGAAGCTGGCGCGCGAAAGTGACACGTGCGTCGAGTGCCTTCATAGTCGGAAACGTCGCTCCGCAAGCTGTGCCGTCGCGCAGCTCGTGCATGCACAAGTACCCCCCCTCGTACTCCCCACCCTCATCGTGCATCGTGTGTCCTCGTGCTCTTCGTTCCTCGTCATGTGCTCGCTCTAGCCACGTGTGCATAATAGGCTTGTCCATTTTGAATTTCTTAAAAAACCGATGTCGCCTCCGTATCTTTGAATAACTCGGTGATGCGCTGTGCGTCGTGCCACCCAGTCGTGCAATCTAAGCCTGGCCTGCGCCCGTAGACCTGGTAGTGCATGTCGCTGTAGCGCTGTGCTACCTTAGCTAGTGTGTCTAGATCGCCTAACCACTGCTTTGCTCAGGGAGCGCTGTGCTCATATACTCTGCCCGCGTTGTCTAGACGGCGGCGCTCGACGCATTCACCCAGACGAGTCGTGCCGAAAACGCCCATGATGACCTGCTCGTGGTTCCCAGGATCCCTGGCGATTGTGCTGATCCACCGAAGACGTTGCAGCTGTAGCTCGACAGCCGTGGGCGAGATGTCCCAGCAGCTAAGTACTACGCGCGCTGGCATGGTGCGCGCGCGTCCATCTTCCAGTTTTATCGCAGCCCTGCCCTTCATGAGTCCCCGCAACATTTTTACGATCACACTGTCCAAACAATCAGTGAAGTCTTCTGGCAATACGAATGCTGAAAGTCCTGATATAGCGGCAGAATGCACAAAACAGAGGAAGAGCATGCGCTTCAATCTGTGCGGGAGCGGCTGGCGCCATGCATGTCCAAGGGATCGCCATCCCGCACGAGCTGTCTTTATGCGCTTGTTAAGCTCGGTGCGCAAGACGCCGTCAAAAGGCAGGATGGGACCGAGCAGCCTTGCCTCCCTGTCAACAGTGCCCTTGACTAAGGACGGCGCGCAGAGCTGCTTGACACATGCGAACGAGCCATGCCCTACGATGTTCACGATGTGTGCTGTTTTCTGTTTGTTAAGGTAATGCCCTGTCTTCAATATCTGCTCTTGCAGTAAATCCGTTGCATGACTGAGCTGCGCTGCGATATGCTGTGCTGCTGGCTTGTAAGGATGTACGTGCATGCGCGATACGTCGTCGATGAACGTGCCGACGCCGATGTCGATTTGCTTGCTACTGATGACGCTGCGTCCCGTAAGTAAGTGATAGCTATCGTCTCCCTGGCGAAGTTTGTCGCACCACGTTTCGGTACCCGGAGTAAAAACATCCACGAAATCCGCGGCCGCGAATGAGTGGCCCATGGCGGTCCCCCGATCAGCTCGAAAATCAGTCTCCCCATCGATACGATTCACGTTCATGGTGGCGTTCCCTATAACAGCTCTGAGAAAAACCTGGTGCCCGGGAGGTGCGGTGCTTTCATGCAACTCGTGAAGACAATCCCTCTTCGTGCATGCGAACGCGTTCGTGCCATCGAAGTTCGTGAGCGCGCGCGATACTCGTGCGTCTCTGCACCTCCATGCAGCAGAAGAAAGAGCAAGCAGGCAGCCCTCCCGACGTCGCCCTCTGATTCCCCCGTGTGCAATGTCTTGTGGTACTGGCCTTTTCGTGCGCGTGAGAAGCTGCCCATAGAAACTCATGCCGAAAGCGTCATAACAGTGTAGAATCCTCTGGCCGTTGATGCCGTGCGACCCGCCATGCTTGGGCTGAAAAAAAAGTGTGAGACCGCACTGCGCTCATGGGCATGAACTGCACCATTCTGGCGAGGGTAAGTAGATCATTATATATACGAGAGAAGGTGCACGGGATATAGTAGTGCGTGCCGTCATCGTTCGAATACTTCTTACGATCTATGGCCATCAATAGTGCTTCTGAAGAAAAAAATAAACTCCCCAAGCTGGGCAGACTCGACGTTTCGGCGCCCGCCGAAGGTACTTGATCTGGCCCATGCGGTCTGCCTGTGCCTGGTCGATTGCCAGCCCTGGGGGGACGAGCTTGGGTAAAAAACTGATAGCCCGCAGCAAACCCAGCCCATTGAATAGGTACTGCTCCGAGCCCACCGTCTTCAGCTTTCTGTGCGAGCCCGCGTGTCGCTTCATCAACGCTGTGCTTCGTGCCGAAGATGAACCGCTTCTTTGGCCCCCTTCCCGTGCCCGACAGTGAGGTCTTCAAATGATGTACCTGCGCCCAGTCACGTCGCTTCCATGCGTGCTCAAGTTGTTTAGCAGTCTCGATGCGTCGTTCCAGCGTGTGCCGTCGGCGTGCAGCTTGCAATTCACGAGTGAGCGATCCAAGTTGGCTGCATATTTCGTCGTACCGAGCTTGATGCGGGTTCTCCTGGTCGAAAGTTGTGCTGCCTTCTCGCCCTAGTCGTTCACGAAGTTCTGCTCGTTGTCTGATCAGCGCGATCCTCTCCGCGCGCAGGTGCTCGTACTTATGGGAAGGATGTTCCCTTGGTGGAAAAACTCGTTGTAGACTTTTGTGTATGCTGGTCCTCAGCAAGTCCCATCCAGTTTGTACGTCGCCTTGCTCCCACATTTGTCTCCATACGTCTTCTGGAATCTCTTCAGTGTTCTTCTCAAGTTCTCTCAAGTACTCAATGCGCAGATGGCCGTGCACATATGCGCCCACTATGGAGCCTCGATGTACCTGAGGGTGCTGAGCGCCTTTGTGTGCCAGCTTCGTGTGGATGTCTATCTCCATGAGCAGTGGAACGTGATCCTGCGGCAGGGTGGTCACGCGCCGTTGAAGGCGCCGTCCGAGCACTCGAAGCGTCTCGATGGTGAGGATGCGCTGCATGGACTCGGTGGGCACGATGTAATGATCGATCTTGCTGCTGGCGGCGCCGCTGAAATCTGTTGGTCCCGTGTCCCAACAATTACTTGCAAGGGTCAGATGGTTCTCCTCGAGTGCATCTCGAACGCGCTGCGAAACCGCTGTCTCCATCCCTGGGTTTTTCATCCCAACTACGTGATCAGCTCGATAGTACTTGCGTGCAGTGGCGCCTCTTCGGATGCCGAAAGAACAATTCAAATCTCCTCCCATGATAATGAAACATTGATGTCCAAGCTTGTCAACTGTCTCTGTGAACCATGTCATGCATCTATCGACCGCCTCTTTCAGAAGCGATGGCGTGGTACCCTTGGGCGGCAGGTATACAGGAAAGACTGCCACCGTACTTGCTCCGATGCGAAACTTAGCCATGACGATCCGCCCTGCAATGCCCCTGGACCGCGGTGGGAACAAAGTCTGCTGCAGAGTGCCCTTCATCTCCGTGTTGAACAGCACCGCCAGGCCGCATGAACGGTTTGACCATCTTGAATTTCGGAACCCGAACTGCACGCAAGTGTGGTTCGGCAAGCTCATCTGCGTCACGTCCTCGTCCTTGATTGCGGCACGCCTTGTGCGGTTGAGCATCAGGATGTCGACGGTCGGCGTGAGAGTAGATATTTCTTCCAGACGAGTGTGATCAGCCCATTCCACATTATGTGCCAAAACTTTCAATACCATGGCGAAAACGATTCCTGCGGGTGGAGGGAAGGAAGGGTTGGAACTGTAGGCCAGCCTAGGCCTGCCGCCCCGCATGTTATTGACCTCCACCCATGGGTTGTACGGTGTGGCAGGTGTGGTAGGAGCTCCTGCTGTGCTGAGAGCCACAGCAGCTCCTGGAGAAGGACGAGGAGGAGGAGGAGGAAAAGGAGGGGGAAAAGGAGGAGGAGGAGGAGGAGGAGGAGGAGGGGGAGGAGGAGAGGAGGAAAAGCAGAGAGAGCATGAAGGGGACGAGAGGGAGGATCGGCAGGAAGCGGACAAGGAGGACGAGGAGGAGCAGAAGGAGCTGGGCGAGGAGGCGGATGAACAGGAGGAGGAGGGGAAGGAGGACCACCGTTTTTTTATTGCTCCCTGGAGCAGAGGCAGGCCCAATGGCGCCCTGCAAACCGAGGTTCGCCGGCTCCCGGGTGCCTCACGGGACTCCGCGCGCGCGCGGTCGGCTTGCGGGTCTCGGCCGGCCCGGCCGCCTTCTTTTCCACTTTCCCTCCCTCTCTCACTGCTCCGCCCTCAGCCCTGTCCCCCCCCCCCCCCCCTCCTCACCCCTGGAGAAGGGCGAGCACGAGGAGGAGGAGGAGGAGGCGGAGGAGGAGAAGGAGAGTCAGGGAGAGGCAGAGGAGAAGGAGGAGGAGGAAAAAAGTCAGAGAAGGGGGAGGCGGTTGAGGAGGAGGAGGAGGAGGAGGAGGATTAGGAGGATTAGGAAGAGGAAAAGGAGGAAAAGCTGTGGCGGCGGCAGCAAGCTATGCAGCAGCAGGAGCGCGAGGAACTCATCCTCTTCCAGCTCTCCTCTTCTCTCCTCTTCGCATCTCTCCAGTCATGTTCCCCGGCCTCCCTATCTGTCTCCCTCCCTCTCCCTCTGCTTCTGCGTCTCCCCCTCTATCCCCTCTCTCTCTCTCTCTCCTCTTATTTGTATCTCTCTCTCTCTCTCTCGTGTTTGTTTGTCTCTCTCTCTCTCTCTTCTTTTGTTTTGTTTTCTCTCTCTCTCTCTCTCGCTTACTCTCTCTCTCTCTGTCTCTCCCTCTCTCTCTATCGTTTGTCTCTCTCTCTCTCTCTTTCTCTCTTTGTTTCTCTACAGAGTTTGTTTGCCCACTCGCTCTCCTGTCCTTTGGTCTGCTCTGCTTCCCTTGCTTCCGCCTTTCCTGTGCATCTGCGCTTCCTGTCCACACTTTTCAATGCCAGTCACGGGCTTTGGGCGTAGTTTTCGTGGCCTGGCTTTCGCGCCGCGCTCCATTTGGAGGCTTGCGAACCAGGTGCGGTGTTATCGAAGTGACTGCGCGAAAAGGATGCCTCTTTCGCTGGTCCATGTGCCACTCCGATGGGGCAGGCTGCCTCGAGTCTATGGCAGTTTTGGCCACTTCGATCGAGAGGGGGTGGTGCAGGGGCATGGGATGAAGAGAAGGAGAAAGGGAGGAAGAGAAGGAGGACGAGTAGGGGGTACGAACGGAAGGAGTGTCATGCATAGCGACAGGATGGACGTGACAGGAGACTGCGGAGCGCACGGCATGGTGGCACTTTCGCTGTCCCTCCGCAGCCCATCCTCAGCCTCTCTCCTCTCCATGCGTCTGCCCTCATCCTGGCTTTCGTTGCTCTCCCCTTGCCAGCGTCTTGCCGCCTTCTCCCTCGACCCCTCCCGCTCTCATCTTCTTCGCCTCGTCCTCCCCCCTCTCACCCTCTCTGTCCCGCTATATGTCCATCCAGACCAGAATCTCAATATCCATGCGCATCTCCATTCCCCCCCTCCTTTGCCTGCTTCTCCGTTCATCTCTCCCTTCCCTGTTCTTCCTCTCATCCCTCTCCTGCCTCGCCTCGCTCCCGCCGTGTCCCTCCCGTCTTCTCCCCCTCCCCTCGTCCCTCCCTCTGTCTTTCTCTCTCCCGCCCTTTTTTCCCTCTTCCCCCGATCCCTCCCCACCCGGAATGAACCCACTCTGCCCCCTCTCGCTCGTGTGATCGCCCTGGCGATCGAGCTTCCCGCGGCGTCTCGAGGTCGTGGCGTCGCCCCGGCGCCGGTGCCCGCATCGCACACAGGGCCGAGGTGTGTCCGGGCCGCTCCTCAGATCCGGGTCGGGGGCACTGTTCGTGGCCGAGGCCCGCCGTGGCCAGAGCACGCAGGAGGAGGAGGAGGAGGAGAGGGAGGAGGAGGAGGAGGAGGAGGGGGAGGAGGAGGAGGAGGAGGAGGAGGAGGAGGAGGAGGAGGAGGAGGAGGAGGAGCTGTCGTTCTCCCTTCAGCGCCCCCTTGTGGCAGCACCGCGACTCCACGTGCACCGTGCTGCAGGTGGCGGGGCGGCCGCCCCGCGCGGGATGGCCGAAAGCCAGTTTTTTGCCTCGTCCGTGGCCCTGGCAGGGCGCGGCCAGGGCGTTCTGAAGTGAGGCTCTCGGTGTGGGTCGGAAGTTGGGCGAGGGCTGGCAAATCCGTGGCTGCCAGAACGGTCTTCCCGGAAAAAAAAAACAAATCCCGGAATATAACTCAGCGCGCTAAGTAGTAAACGGGCGGTTTCTTCGAAGAAAACAATTTCCCGGAGCTCCGTTTTAGCAGCCAAGGTTTTGCCAGCCTTCGCCTGGCTTCTGAGTGGGCTCGGTGAGGGTGAGAAATCGTGGGGTCGGGGGTGCCAAGAACAGAGCCCAGAGGCCTGGGGGTGTCGAGGGGGGGTGGGGGCCAGGTGGGGGGTATCGGTCGTTTTTGGGCGAGAAATCGTGGGGTCGGGGGTCCCAAGAACAGAGCCCAGAGGCGGTGGGGGAAGCGGAGAAGGAAGGGGGGGCGACGGGGGAGTGCAGTCAAGACGCCAGAGTAGGGCCCAGTCTGGGCTCTGGGGCGGCTCCTCTGGCTCTCGAGCCGCTCCCCAGATCCGGGTCGGGGAGCCTCGTCGCGGCCGAGGCTCGCTGCGGCCATGCTCGGCGGGGGTGTTTGCGAAGGAGTGTGCCCAGGAGCCTTCATACCCTGCAGGGTTCCTCATCTGGTGAGGGTGGCGGTGATATCCCTGGCCAGGCATCAGCTGGTGTCCCGCTTGCTTCCAGACCCTGGACTCCTTATTCGAGGTTTCCTCGTCCAATGCCCTCGCCGTGTCCAGCACCACTCGTGGCCGCACCGTGGCTGCAGCTGGCGGCGCGAGGCCGAGGGCGCGCGCACGAGTGCGCACGAGCGGCGCGCGCACTGCTACGAGGCCGAGGGCGCGCGCAGGAGCGCCCAGCGAGGCTTCAGTCGGGCATGTTGCCCTGCGGGAGGACTGTTCCAGAATAGTCAGGCACTTGACTTGATTATGGCAGTGTGGCCTCGCACTGTTCTCTTGCCGGGGCTGTTCAAGCCTTGCCGTGTGTCCCGTCGCGCGGCCGTTGGCACAGGCTAAGTAGCCGCAGGGATTGTGGCTCTGGTGGTGTCCGAGGCTTTTGTGGGAAAATCGTATGGGCCGAATTTCTGAGTACTCTTGAACCATGTTTGAGCATCTGCTGGCTAGTTTTATCTTCCGCAGAAGATCCCCCCGTAGGAAGGCCATGCCCAACCTAAACCGAGGCGCGCGCACGCACCGCCGGCAGCCCGCGCGCGCTGAGCGCCCCCGCGCGTCAGTCCTGCCAGCCGAGCCTCGGGGCCCGCCGCGCGCGCGGGCGGCCGGGTTGCCGGGAGCCTTGGGGGCGGAGGGTGAGCGCAGGCGGTGGTCGGCCATGGTGCAGGCCAGCCACAACTGGGGGAGCTGTGGTCCTTACCCCCCTGGGGGTCCCATCGATTTCGACACCCCTCTCGAGAAATCGTCGACGCGATGGTTTCCCCCAGGGGGGTAAGGACCACAGTGCCCCCAGTTATGGCTGGTCGGATGGTGCAGGATGGGGGCTCCCGTGCGGTAGGTTCGGCTCGTGTCGGCGCGGCGGCGACCCCAGCGCGGGCGCTCCAGGTTGAACGCCGCCAGCGGCTCAGAGTCGGCCAGTATCGAGCGATCGGTGCTACCTATCGGAGAGCGGCGATGGTTCGAGATTGGAGAATCCACGCGGCGTCGGAAACCAACGCGCAAAACTTCACGACGTAAGCCCGCCGTGAGGTGGGGCGCGTCACGCAGCCATGCCCTGGACGACCATTAACTAACAGAGTGGGTTCCAGGCCTTCTCGTGGGCGTCGTCGCCGTCGCCGTTGATATTAGTTGATCGCCCTCTCCAAGGTCTTCCCAGCGGCAGAGAACTATGTTTTGAGTCCCCCCAAGTCTTCCTTTCGTCACTGTGCATTAACCAGCAGGTCGGCCACATGGCCCGAAGAAGAAAGAAAATCATAGACATACATTGCCAGAGATCCGCGCCGATCGCTGGGGCCCAGCCCAAGCAGCTCTCCGTCAACGCGGTCGCAGGGACGCCCGTTGCCCGATGGCGTAGTGGCCAGGCACCCCACGGAATTGCTCAGAAAGAAGTTGGCCATTCGTTTTGAGCGCGAGTAGCAGGAGGAGGAGGAGGAGGAGGAGGAGGAGGAGGAGGAGGAGGAGGAGGTCCGTAGCCATTTTGGCTCAAGCCATTTTGGCTCAAGGCCATATCGGGAACTCAACCCCCCGTCTCAAGTGGCCTGGCCCGCCGCGCGCGAGTGAGACCCTGGAGAGTTGCCCCAGGACAAGGGTCTCCGCATTTCTCCTTCACACACCTCACTCTGTGTACTGCACAACCAGGTATCAGCCCTGGACCCTTCTGCTCGCCACATTTCGTTGAGGGTGCCAGCGCCGCTGGCGAACGATGAGTGCGGCAGACTCTCGTGATGCGAACACGCCGCCAGAGCAGAAGATCGCCCCCCTGGAGGGCAAAGGTGCTAATGGAAAAGGTCGAGATGGAGCAGTCCTCTTCGGCAGCATCCCCCTCTCGTCCTCACAGGTGCAGATCCTCGAAGGCGACCCCATCCTCGACGAGCTGGACCAGCTCGCTGCAGAGGAGCGCGCTACGCCTGCTGCTGCTGCTGATGGTGTCGCCCCTGGTGCTCCACCTGACGTTCAGCTTCTCCAGCAGGACCTCAAGAAGACCAAGACTGTGCTCCTCGGAGGAATGGCCTCGATCAACCGAGCCATGGCCGCCTTGCAGGAGTCCATCACCAACAGTTTCGACTCCCTCTCGGAGTCCGTGGAGACCCCTCTGGCGAGACAGGAGGCGTCCACTGCGACACTCCACCAACGCGTCGACCTCATGTCCAAGGAGATCGCCGAGCTCAAGGAGGCGCTCGGCATCATGCAGAAGACTGATACGGTGGCACCAGCAGTCGGCAGCTCGTTCGAGCGGAAGACCGACCCGTGCATCTTGGTGGTCCGCGCGTCCGCGCTGGTCACCAAGCTGGCAGCGACCGCTGCCATCACCCCGCTCATGGAGCTCAACAACTTCGAGGAAGGCTCGTGGAAGCTGGAGGGGGACGAGGCCGCCAAGCGCTTCGTGGTCCGCGTCCGCGGCGCCCCTGGTTGGGCTTCGCGGCGCATTGGCCAAGTTCTCGGCAGCATGCGCAACGGCGACGGCTCCTTCAAGCGATATTGCGCTGCCACGGCCACCGGGGAGAACGCTGAGCTGTACTTCTCTGAGGACAAGAACTTGTTCCAGATCCGCCGCGAGCTCATCACGAAGCAGATTCGGAAGTGCATGTCGGAATGCAAGCCGACGATCAAGTTTTTCGCCGACAAGAGCGCTGGCATCGTCAGCGCGAGTTGGAAGCCCCTGCTGCGTGTCACCCCCAGGTCGGAGGACGTGCCGCTGGTGGAGTTCGAGGAGGCCAACCTCAATGCCATCGGCCTCTCGCGCGGCGAGCTCGAGCCCAGGATCACCCGCATTTTGCAGGCTGGTCAGGGTGCTGGCGGCCCAGCTGCCGCGCCATCGTGGAGTCTTTAGCAGCTGGTTCGAGCTCTCAGGGGGCAAAGTTTCACCAGAGCTGGCATTCGGCACGTGGAATGCGAGAGCTCTTTTCCATCACGTGGCCTCAGTGCGGACCAAGAAACTGAGCTACCTGCAAGCAATGCTTCGAGGGTTTCGGGTTATTGCCGTCCAGGAAACGCATGGTAGCAGTTTTGACGTTTCTGACTTCCTGCACTTCTCGGGGACCAAGTACACGTCGTTCTCCTCGTTCTTCCCCCCCAAGCCCGACGGGAACCCCAGCGCCAGTGGTGGGGTCGTCACGTTCTTCCCGAAGATGTCGTCTCTCCCTGGGATCGGGTCTTCTGCGTCTCGGCAGGTGCTGGTTCGTGGTCGCGCGCTTCATACCAAGCTTAACCTAGGCACGGTCCCGAACAGCCTTGACGACACCCCCCTCATCATCTCTCACTACAATATACATAATCACGGGCTCTCACGGACTCAGATTGGGAACCTCATTGGGCATATATCTCAGGAGCTCCTCAAGGCTGTCCAGGACCCCGAGCACTAC